TAGGGGGTGGGGGTTGGGGTGGGAGAGGGCCTTGCAACAGCCTGTCCCCGTCGTTTTATGAAAGAAACATCGGGGAATAAAGCATCTTGCGTGGGTCTTTTAAAGTTAGGTCCTAGCCACATGGGTGCTGTGGACGCCTGCAAAGTTTCAAAGGTGTGGGTTAGGTAATAAGGGAGGAGTTTGTGCACAAAGCCTCCCAAGTCCACTTTTATATATAGACCTAGATCTAGATCTATACTAGCTGGGCCCCCTTTCGATGAAAGGAATGATCAGTGCATTAACATCAGGTGAAAGTCATTGGCCTACGATATTACACTCTACTGGAGTGGAGCAATAAATCTTGAGAGAAAAGTGACACACGTGTTTCCAAGTTTTCAAATATATAATAGATGTATAGATTGAGTCTCTATTTCCAAATTCGTTGTTGTACACTCCAGAATTTCAAAGGTGTGGAAACAGTGCGCACAGCTAGTGAACGCAAACCTCACTTGTTTACAATGGCGTCTTAGAAGACGGACTTTCCCAAGATTAGAACTCTGTGTGGATGAAACAAAGTTTGGAAACATCGGGGAAAGCAGTTTGCGTGGATTTTTAAAAGTTAGGTCCTATCCACATGGATGCTGTGGACGCCTGCAAAGTTTCAAAGGTGTGGGTTAGGTAATAAGGGAGGAGTTTGTGCACAAAGCCTCCCAAGTCCACTTTAGATGTCCCTTTTCTAGCACCATTTTACTCAATCGAGGGCGGCAGCTTCGCACTGCACACCTTCTGCCTTTGAATAGTGCGTGCACATAGATTTACACCTAGGCCTAGACTTACTAAACCATAGCGAACAGTAGATCTACGTACTTACTACTTACTATACTAGTCTAGATCTACAGTTCGCTAACGCTTACACTACCGGTACGCTTAGCATCCCAAGACCCCACGGCTGTGGCTTGCAACGGTATCGCGAAAAGCACACGCCCCCACACACTTCGCACAGTCCAAGATTAACCAGCACTTGGGATGCGCGTTTAGTATGCAAATGTTTTTTTACTGAAAAACTTCATTTTAGACTCTCGATGTTTTACTGGCATGGGTAATACGATATAAGCTTTCATTTGGGGAAAAAAAGGGTTTTTTTCGAAATTCGGCCTCTGCACGGTTAGCATCGCGCACAGTCTATATATTACGAGGTATACATTTTAAAAAAAATATATGCATGTATATATATAAGTATATATTATGCATAAGAAACATACATCAGCAGAATAACAGATGCATCTTTCAACCACATGCAGGAATTTCTCACAGACAACAGACAAGATGGAGAACATGTATCTCACTCCCAGTCTTTCTGCTGTCCCTCTCAACCCGGGTCCTATGCATATATGAGACTGTGGAGCATCACCTGTTCCACTGTACAGCCCTAAATGACATCAGAGCTACCCTTCTCCCTCCGAGACCTAACATAGACAACACACTCTATGGAACATTACAGCAACTGCAGCAGACCTGCACTTATCACTACATGGCATTGGACAGAAGGGCGAGAGCCCAGCTGTTGCTGGATCGATAACAACAACTCAACCCGGGTTCAACCAGACAGGCAGGGTCGGAAGCCCGCCTCCTAAATGACCTAAAGTGGGTCAATGAGGGCGTAAAAAACACCTATTGGTACATTACTCAATTTTTTGAGCAGGTGATGGTCACCAGTAGATACCAGGGTCAGTTGGGGGTTTTTTTTATTTCACGGAGGTTTGGACCAAGGGAAATAACTCAACATAATCATGTCCCTCATTATTCTTGTCATGACAGAATCATTTCCCTTGAATCAAAAAACTACTATTTTTGACAAAATATGTCCGAAGTTTGTTTTTTTCGCAGAACAGAAGTGACGCTACAACATGTTTGTGTTCATGTGCACAAAAGAGTTTACCGTCAGCAAGGTGTTTGAATGTTCGAGGCCCAGAAACAAAAAATCAATTCAGGAGACAGAAAAAACATGTTTTATTCTATTATCACTTGTAGGCCTGCCTACAATACATATCTTTTCTTGTTACTACACACTTTTCATAACGGCGTATGGCAGTCTTACACCAAGCAGTCAATATGTTTACTCGAGTAAGTCAACGTGTTCAGAACTTATGTTCCCAAAACTAGAGGTACGAGAATGAGTTAGAGGCCAGCACCTGACACCCTGGCCAGTGATGATGAGAACAGGAGCACCACTACAACCAGGGCAGGTGTCTGCGGTATACACACGACTCGATTTGATTAACAGTTTTGTTGGGACATCAGCCACATCGCTCCGACTTCCACCACCTGGATCATTCCATGATGAAGTGCTGGAGGATTCCTGTGTGGAAGAGGATAGGTCTTGACCATTGAACGTACTGGAGATCAGACCTTCGTTACTTTGATCAGTCTGTTCTTGTCCTGGTCGATCTAGATCTCCAGAGGGTGGACCCGGGGGGGCAGACGTTGGAGACTGCGCAGCCATGGTATGTGTGTCAATCAGTGCGTCTGTGACACCAGTGTCCTCACCACCCTGTTGAAAGCCCATGGTGATGTGCTTGCTCAATCCGTGTGGATGAGACACTATTGTAACCAGGTAAGGAGGCTCAATTTTACCAGCAAGGTTCCTGTTCATGGTATGAAGTTGTCTGGAGAATAGTTGGATGACCATGCGCAGTTTTCCAGCAAATTCAGTGTCATGGGTTACTACAAGTAGGTCATTCAAATCGGCCTTCTCATCCCGCTGAATAAGCTGTACACCCTCAAAAGTTTTAACATTGGATCTATCGTAGCTGTCGAAATTGAATTCTGCTACAGTTCTACAAGCCTCTGCGTCATCGTAAATCACATGGCAACCTGTCCTCAAAACAAATCCTTTCCATTTCTGGCATGGCTCTGAGCCTTGTTGACTGCAGTGTGAACAAGGGCAGGGTCCTCTTCCACTGAACCCGTCAAGGTTCTGTAACCACCCCGTGCCGAAGCGAGCTAATCCAGGACGATATAATTTAAAAAGTTCAGGCCTGTCCTGAGATACATAGTCTGTTTTTATGCGTACAGTTATTTTGGCGAGGAGTTTGATAATCTGATAAATGCCCTTGTAAGGTGACGGTATCAGCTTCATGGAAAACTTCCTCATGGGTATAAAATTCTTATGGTAAGGATTCTTCCTGCAACGTCTGACATAGTCCAGGTCACCGATTATCTCTGAAAATAAGACAAATAGCACTTTTAGATACCAAACTAGTCAACATTTGAATAGAAGAACATAACGTGATAACTCATTTACAACCTGAGGTCAACTTCTTTTGATGTGGGCACTCTGTTGGCACAGTTGGTACCATGCTGGACTATATAGCGGATGACCCTGGTTCGAATCCCAAACTGGGTGTTCTTAGGAATTGAACTCGGGTTTCCTGACTGTATGCAGCAGCAAAGCTCTTAACCGCTTAGAAAATCCACACCATAGATGCCTGTCTGCATAATAAGATCATAATTATGTGAGGAGGGGCATGTGATGAGCTGAGCAGGAATCATTACTATCATTTCTGACTGCAATGTAGATAGCTTAGATTCATATCCAAAATGTGTCAAGACACTATAGAATCAGGCGCAAGTCCATTTTTGGCAATTATTGGTGTCATCTTATAGCCTGGTCATTTTCCTTGCTTTTGTAAAAAAAAAAAAAAACAACTCAAAATGCAATCTTAAATACAAGTTGAGATTGGATTGAAAGATTGATTTGATGTCAGAGGTAAATTTAGTGAGAAAATGGCTGCCCACGTTTGGTGACTTCCAAAGCTGTATTATCTTTGAAAACTCAAAATTACATTTAGGTGCAGTTTAGAAACGTTTGTCAGTAAAATACATGCAAGAATTTGTTTTCAAAGGGACATAAAAGTAAAGGTGATGAGCCCAAAAACAAAATATTTAACAAAAATTCTCCTTCGGGCGGAAAAATGTAGGTTTCTTTGATTTCCTTATTTTGACGAGTGCCTGATTTCACCAGGAGGCCACACAAACGTATTCTTGCATCCTGGGTGCTATAGACAGTTGCATGTCCTTCCTCCCTCTTAACTCAGTACAATCAGAGCTAGTCTTAATTCGTGGAGAATGTAGCGGTCACACAATTGATATTTCCCCATCGGCAGAAGACCTAGGCATTTACATGGCTCATTTCACATCATCAAACAGAAATGGGAAACACTAATTGACATTTTCAGCAGGATAATGAGTATGCTGTCGTGTACCTTTTTAACCTTTTGACAAAGCAATAAGAACTGAAATATACGAAGGCTCATGAATAACGAAGTAACGCTTCATTTTTTAAAGTGACCCAAGCAGGTCTTCAAGATAAATAATTATCAAAATCCTTCTTAATCTAAAATTACAACTTGATATAAAGGTTAAATAGCCCAAACATGTTGAGAGGGATGTAAAAGTGTAACCACCAGTGTTGTGTAGAAAGGATAATACAATGATGCGATGATTCCCTACCAAAGACGGGGTTGGAATGTGTGTGAGGGCATGTGTGTATGTATGGGGGGGGGGAGATTCATTTGGCTGATTAACTTTGTTACATGTACCATGTGAAAGTGAGTACCGGTAGTTTGAGCACAGAGTTCATTCCTTGGGAGCAAAAGGTACTCAAGAGGGACCACTTACTCCGTCTTCGAAGCTCAATCTAAATTGTGTCTGGTGGCTTGGGAAGCTCAACGTCACCATTCATGATGATACTATAACACTTACCAGAGGTCATCAGGGAAAGTGGTTCTGCCTCCTCTTTGCGGCTGTCATTATTTCCAGAGAAAGCTGGTGACAGTTCAGCTTGAGGGCGTTCACCACTAGAACTGCCAGAGGGCTCTGTGTCAGTTCCTGTTTCTGTAGCCAGCTGACCTTCCGAGTGACTCTGTTTACATGTTTGCTCTTTGACACCAGGGCGGCTCTCATTTCCGCCACAGTCGCTCCCTACATCTTTATCTATTTTTCTCTTTTCCATTCGTCTTCTTTCACTTCCTTGTCTTACTTCACCTGAACTGTCATTAATGCCACTTCCTTGTCTTACTTCATCTGTACTGTCATTAATGCCACTTCCTTGTCTTACTTCATCTGTACTGTCATTAATGCCACTTCCTTGTCTTACTTCATCTGTACTGTCATTAATGCCACTTCCTTGTCTTACTTCATCTGTACTGTCATTAATTTCGCTTCCTTGTCTTACTTCATCTGTACTGTCATTAATGCCACTTCCTTGTCTTACATCATCTGTACTGTCATTAATGCCACTTCCTTGTCTTACTTCATCTGTACTGTCATTAATGCAACTTCCTTGTCTTACATCATCTGTACTGTCATTAATGCCACTTCCTTGTCTTACATCATCTGTACTGTCATTAATGCCACTTCCTTGTCTTACATCATCTGTACTGTCATTAATGCCACTTCCTTGTTTTACTTCATCTGTACTGTCATTAATTTCGCTTCCACAATTAGAACCGAGTTCTGAAGTTGTCGCCACCAAACTACAGTCATCCACCAAGCCCCTCCCTTCACCAGGACCAGTCTCTTGTTCGTCGCTGTCACTTTCCTCATCACCAGAACCTATAATCAAGGAGTCATACTTGTGTTCAGTCTTTTTCCATTCCAAGCTAACACCACTGCAACTGTGTTCTGGATTGTCAATCAACTCTCCCCTATGAGGTGCCTGAAAGACTCTCCGCCCTTCCCTGCCAACCACGTACACCGGTGAACCACTGCACCCACAACAAGTCGGGGTGTCGTATTTGTAGAAGACTGACTCGTGGAATTCACCTTCATTTTGCAGTACACATCTCCGTAGACATTTGCCAACACTAATCTGTTTATTGCAGCCGTGGGGGTGGGAAACAATAACAACCAAATTCTGCTCAGTTAGCTCTTCGGACGATGTCGCCTCCAGTGGATCCGACTTTGTATTGTAGACATAGTCAGTAATAGTCACCACGTAAGTCCAAAGCTTGTAGTCGTGTGTGACAGCAATAAACTCGCACACGTCACCTTCTGGGTCACTGCTTTCTACGCGAACGCCAGTAAGAGTTCTCACTTTATCCCGCTCGTGCTCGCTGTCGTAAAACATGATTACTTCGGCTCCGTCTGCCTCTTCATCGTCAAACACAACATGCTTGTTGGTGTACACTCTCAATTCCCCCCACTCCATCGCAGGTTCTGAGGAACTCCTGCATGTCTTGCACACGCAAGGACGATCTTTGTAGAAGTTACATTTCTTAGCGCTCCACAACCATCCACTTCCGTGTGAGCGGATGCCCCTCTCTCCCTTCTTAGTTCTCTTTGAACTCATCTTTCTAAGAGCCACCTTTGCTGTCAGTTTCGCAAGAAGTTTAATGGTATCCAGAATACCCTTGTCCTGGAAACCTTCAGGTAGAGAATTTAGATCAAAGTTTGGAACAGGCGTAAAGTTTCTGTGTCCTTTGTTCTTGTGGCAGTCATTATAAGCTTCATGCAGGTCACGTTCCTCATTCACGTTTATCTGGATCTCATGTGAAACTGGGAAACAGAAATAAGATCAAACTTAAAACAAAATGACCAGAAATGTAGCTCTAGCGTAAAAAGATCATCAGCATCATCATCACTTTTAAATCAGCATCATCATCACTTTTAAATCAGCATCACCAACAACACCATCAGCAACATTATTATGATCAGCACATTTTTGCCACCACTAACAAGACATCAACAAAAACAACAGCAACAATGAGAGCAAAATTCTGTTTCAATAACCCCCGTGCCCCCCCCCCCCCAATCCACCCGCACTCACTCCCACATTTACAACATAATTTTCCCAGTGCACTCACCTGGAGGGGGTGAGTTGAACTGCCCGGGTCTGGGGGTTTCTTCTGCCATCTCATCTCTCTTCACAGCCTCCAGCAGTCACTAAGGACACAAATTTAAAAATAAAAACATTACAGACAATAGAAAAAATATAAATTATGATATCTTTTTAAAAATTTATCAATTTATTCATACATACTTATACTTATATAAATTAGGGCTTTTAAGTTTATGGGCAATTTTCCTGAAAACTTGAACTTTGGGCAACATATGAATCAGATTTTAAATTTCAACCAAACAGCTTCAAGAAGTATTCAGTTTATCTTTGACATTATATGTCTAGTTTTGGTACCTACAGAGTTGATGTAATAGCTTGCTTTGTTTCTTTGAAAACTGAAATAAAGTTTAGATCAGTGCACGTGCTGTGGTCTTTACCGCTACATCCTTACACACTTGCAAAGTTTCAGATCAGACAAGCATGACAAAAACTCGTTTTCAGCAACCTCACGTCCTAGCAGCACTGCAAAGCCACAAGCAGGATGACGTGATACATGAACTGTTTCATATTTTTTATGGTCCTAATAAAGGCCACACACAGGTTTTTGGGGTACACTTTGGGCCCAGACAATGTTTTTTGAGTTTTAAGAAACTTCCCTCGAAAATAATGTGCTAAATCGAATGGAAGTACTCTCAAAGTCCTATTTCAAACAGATAGCTCCAGAAAGTTTGCAACATTGTGAACCAATACAATGCTTTAAATGTAGAGCAATTTTGAGATGTTTTTGCTCCTTAGTCCTTTCCTCAAAATGTTCATTTCTGGGCTTTAAAAGCTAAAAACTCAAAGTCAAAGACTATTCAAGACAAAGTCATGAAATTTGTATCACCATACCATTCCAAATGAAATGACGCCAGCTTTTTCTAATTTTTGAAAAAAAAAAAGTTTTATGATTTTTTTCACTTTGCTATTTTGACTATTTTTGTCATTCGCCAATACGCAAGTCTCTCAAAATTAATACAATTATTAATGTTTACAATTTCAAGAAATGCTAGCTACATTTTCTTAAGATTTTTATGCAGATTACAAATATGTTATTAGTTCAATGTACTTTATAGACAGCATGAATGGTTTTTGAGTTTTTAGTTTTTGAAAATGGTCCTTCAGACAGTCCAGTTTCACTCTAATCTGCGATTATGTAACTGATGCATGTAATGATTCCCAAAACTGATGATTTCTAATCACTGAATGGAATACTATGAGAAAACAAGAAAAAACAAGAAAAAATCACTTCATTCTAGAACTTGGTGCTAAGTAGAGTAGTGGCTGCAACTTTCCACCACCAGCTTTAACAGTACTGAAGGCTCAAAAATAATGAAAAACCCTCAAGTGCCACACCAGTTTAGACGGCTGAAGCCGAGGTAGATTTTTTTTATATTTAAAAAATCCTGGCGGCCCAAGAAACACACTGTAAAAATTCATAGAGGTTCATCAACCATTTAGCTATCATATAGAGCGACTTCCTTTGGTATTTACTTCAGCGCAGTGCATTCACTAGTAGCTTAATTCTTTTTAGTGTGCCTGGTTGCGTTACCAACTAAAGTCACCAGCGGTAGCGAGTGCATATTACGGCATGGTGACTTAAGTCGCCGACGGTACTGTAAGTGTTTAATTAATTAACAATTATATATATATATATATATATATATATATATATATATATATATATATATATATATATATATATATATATATATTGAAAGTTAGTTATAATGTAAACTGTACTTTCAAAAGCGTCTGTGCCTGTTTAAATTTTCAGAAGAATGCCCACCATAATGTACTATTTAACATTATGATTTCTGACTATACTTGACATCTTATACCAGCGTCTGTGGAGTAGCAAGGAAGGCACATCACCGTCACACACAAGAGATTTGAGTTCATTTCCCATGTGGGGAAAATCTTTATCGAGTCAGCTCCCTCTGTCTGTCGGCACGGACATTGTATTCTCTCAGCCGAGGTTGGGTCCAAAAGTGAAGGGTCGAAGAAGCCTGTCTGCTAAACTAAATGATCCACATGCTGTCAATATGGGGGTATAGAATAATATCTACAATTACAATTATATAAAAAATACTCCGCACATCGTTTCATTTGTTAAAGTTAAAGATGATATAGGATGTAGACTATTTCATAGTAAAACACAATGACATTGATGAAGGTAGAGCAGGAAATATTTCTACCTTTACATTGGACATAGGCCTACAGAGGTCAAGGCATTAAGGCCAAGGTTGTCAACAATTAAGAAGTGACAGCTTCACAGACTTAAATACTTCAATAACGGGTGCACTAATAAACCTCAATATCAGGCCTACCTATTCACCGAGACAAGTCCAAATACTTCAATAACAGGTGCACTAATATAAACCTCGATATCAGGCCTACCTTGTCACTGAACCTATTGTGACGTGTATGATGACTTCACATTCGTATTGTCAACTAATGGATTGAAAAATGTCGTGTGATTGTTTGCTTATAAGTTATAGATCTATGCCCAGTGCCCATTGGCACACGGTTCAGTTTAGTTTGGTAGGTATATAAAGGCTAGACAGATTGAGGGCGAAAAACGACCGGCACAACCGAACGAAGCCAACGGTAACCTTCAAAAACAAAGGCGGTTGTTTTCAAGGCTGTGAGTCGGGTGATTGACAGTTTAATGTTTGTGTTTATGAATGTTGTTATTCCACTCTTCAATTCAGATTTGTTCTTAGTCATAAAGACAGTCTGAGGCTGATTAAATTTGACCATGCACCTTAGGTGCGTTATATACTGAAAAAAATATATAATAATTTAAATAAAACCTGCCACTGCCACATGTACGAAACGCTAGTCTCATAGATAGATCTAGATCTATATATAGCTAGCTATGCCAGGGTCTGTTCTTTGTTCAAACCATTTTGATTTTCCCTCTGTTAGGAAAATTACCTTCTTTTGCGACGTAGTCTAGGTGTAACCTCAGTCTCAGTGTTTCCTTTAGATCAAAACTGATGAAACGTTTCCAGTATCGCTTTGGCTTTATGTTACTGCAAAGATTCTACCACAGCACAAAGTTCCTTCTCACGGCAGTTTAGGCCTAGTCCGAAAGAAATTGAGGAATGAGTATATCTAGATTAGATCAGCCAACGAAACCAACAAGAGCTGCTAAAGTTAAAACAAAGATCTTTGGTATTTTATGCTGGTATCTTTGGTTAAAGTTAACGAGCTCTAATCATTGGCGCTGGAGAAACCACCGGAAGAACATAATTACTGTTACTATAAATATCTATCGGAAATTTCTAGGCCTATTGCGTTCAGTCGAGGCCACAGAATTCTACACTTATAGAAGCGGAACTCCCTCTTCGCGATCGCCGATTCGCTGTGAGGAATTGAAACTAAAACATGGCGGCCAGTTGAGGGCACCTTTGGCTGCGCCGCACAGCGAGGCTTCGCGTTGCTATGCACGCTGATGCTAGTGGTAGGGCTTGGAAGACACCTTACATTAAGTTACATCAGTATTTTAAAACTTTCTTCGAAGAGGAAATATAGTGAAATAGTCTAGTACATTTTTACTGCCAACAATATGTCATAATTGGCAATGTTACAATGTTTTTGTATCTGTATTGTTGGTTTGTTGTTGTTTTTTTAATGATGGGATGGGATGGGATCTAGATCTATCTAGATCTAGATCTCTAGATCTACTACTAGATCTAGATCTACTAAAGATCTTCACAATCACAATACACTTGATAATAACACTAATTATGAACATTAACTCTGTTGGAAAAGTATCTAAATATAGTCTTGATTAGTACTAGATCTACGATTGGAGAATGTGTCGGTTGCACATAAAATACATAGGCCTATTGTACATGCTGCCAAAAACACAAAAATGCAGAAAAGGCCTCTAAATATTGTTTTACACATAAAAGCCAATAATGCAAAACAAAGTAAACAAGAGTGGAACTGGCATATGTTTCCTGAATATATGTTCAAAGTCATTTTCTGTGTGTTTGGAGTGTGATTTCTAATGCATGAATGAGAGGCTCATTCAGATGTGATAATGAAGAAACTTGTGTCTACAGTCTCAACAGAAAGAGTTCCATGGCGAGTGATCACTGGTCAAGGATTTCAGAGCTGTGTGCATTTTGAGAAAAATGTATCCCCATACTCTGGATCACATGTCGAGGGGATGGGCTTGTCCCCCTGTAATCCCCGCACACAGTAAACAAACACATATTTTGGAACACGAACAAGAAAAAATAAGTGGCCTCTTGTTACGGATCAAATTGAAGTCTTGTTACAATTCGATCAATTGATAATAGTGCGCATTGCAATGCATTGGCTAACTCAGCATTATACGCTATTTAATAATACATTCGTCAGATTTGGAATCTTAAATTATAATCATAATTATATGTGCCGCGCGTGGGAAGTGAAAGTGAAAGGAATTGAAAATGCTTTCAAAAACAAAAACATAATTAAAGTAGGACTACATGTGCTTATAAAGGCTCAAAAAGGTGTATGGATGCGGAAATTAATGTTTCGGATGAAAATAATACGCTATCTTCACTACTGTAGCATGCGGTCAAAAATTTGATGCGCAACTTATTATCAAATATCTAGGCTACTGAACTATCAAACACCTAGATCTAGATTCTCCTACGTTTACACAATGACTTAGATCTATATCAATTCGTCTTAACCGATGAGTATTTTTTTCAAACATTTGTACACATCTATAGGTTCTATATTATTCTAGAAATTTCTTTAAAGAAAATTCTTTAATAAATACTAGCCCAATATATAAAAAAAAAATCCCAGTCAATGGTTTCTACAGATTTTTAAAAAGTTTATAGCTGGAGCTAAATCTCTTTTAAAAGCAAGTCCGTCCTTTTTTCTACTTCTGCTGGCGACATAAAGTTAATTATTGAACGCATGTTTTGAGAACATTAATAAGATCTAGTGAAAAAATATGTTCAGTGTAAAACAAATTTATTGTAATAAGTTTTACTACTAAAAAACTACGTAGGCCATATGCGTATGCAAAATGTGTATGGGAAGCTAGAAGTGCTATGAATTTTTTTCAGTTCTGTAGATCTTATATATATCTATATAAACTCTGTATGTCTGCTTTTTCTGTTGTTGCACTCCAAAACACAACAATTTAAAACCTTAATTCCAATCTCTAGTTGCACAGTGAATTCTGTAACTCAAAATTACAAACTGGACAGTAAATGTTCCACTTTTCACTCGTTTGTAAAAGCCGCTCTTGCTTTAAAAGCTATAGGGTTACTTCCGAAAACGATAAATAGTGCCCTCACGACGCCATTGTTTTCGGTCTTCAATTCCTCACAGGTCACGTGGTACAGTTCCCGTTCTGTAAGTGTAGAATTCTGTGGTCGAGGCCAAAACGGAATAAGACAAGACGGGACAACAGCCTCATTTTCGTTCCAACTGGCTCCCCTTGGTAACCAGCTAGCTGCGCGTTAAAAGCGTAAACAAACGACAGGAAGAAAGAGCGCACTGTTCAACTCGCTGAAATAGCTGCCTACTTTGAATTTCATAATGGCAGTTTTGCCTTGGGTTTTTTTTCATATAAACTGATGGCTGATGGGTATTTATTTTGACTGGTTTTTGTTCACATTTTGAATTATAGTGAGTTGAGAAATTTAAGGTTTTTATGAACGGAAAGCGGTAGTGGGTTGAACATGAGAATGATTATGTAGATCTAGGAGTTTATGAAACGTAGAAGTAGATTAGATTCTAGATCTTACAGTTTAAAAAACACAGAACAGCCAGTGGTGCTCTGCAATGAACAGTTGTCAAACAACAATACAATAGATTGGATAGACCATGCACCTTAGATGCGTTCTATACTGAAAAAAAATAAAATAATTTTAATAAAACCATAAAACCTGTCACTGCCACGTGTACGAAACGCTAGTCTCATAGATAGATCTCTCTCTCTCTCTCTCTCTCTATATATATATATATATATATATATATATATATAGCCGTACTTATTCTTAATATGATGGCTAGACTGACCATTTACAAAAAATAGGCCTACTGAATTATAAATATACATTTTTAGTGTGCAGTACCTAAAGTATTTGTATTTGAGACGAAACCAGGTACCTTAATGACAGTGCATGTATTCTAAACCTCCTGTTTTCTAATGTAAATAGGGCCTAAGATAAGTACGGCTAGATTACTACTTAAGGACGGGTAGACAGCCAGGCTAGACGTACTTAAGGACGGCTAGACTGTCAGGCTAGCCGTACTTAATATTGATGGTTGAATTGTAAATGAAATTTTTAGTTTGCAATGCCTAAAGTATTTGTATTTCAGACAAAACCAAAAGGTGCCTTACTGACTTGCATGTATTTGAACCTGAATAATTACTAGATCTAGATCTAATGAGACCTGTGTACTTAACAGGCTTGAGTCAATTGGGCCAAACCTAGATCTAAGTACGACTAGACTGGCAGTCTAGCCGTACTTAAGTACGGTTAGACTCTCAGTCTAGCCGTAGTACGGCTAGCCACTTCGATTTTTTAAACTAAAGATACGGCCACTGTCCAGCAGCCTAACTGTAGTCGGTGTAGACTAGATCTAGATTTCTAGATCTAGATCTAGATCTAGATTAACTACACAGCTACATTGTTCCCCAATGTCAGAATCAATGATCATGAACTGAAGCTAAGAAAGAATGGCACTCCTGTACAATAGCCATCCTGTTTGCACTAAATCACTCAAGGCCTTTAAGTGCCCGTGTAGTAATTTTTACGTGTTTCTTATTTAGATTTAAGCATAGATCTAGATTATAGATATCTATAAGAATCTAGATCTAGATCTAAACTGAATTAAAATTATAGATCTAATCAAGATCTATCTAGCTATCTAGATCTAGAAATAGATTATCTTCGCTATCTAGATCTAGATAGATCTAGCTATCTAGATCTAGAAATAGATTATCTTGGCTATCTAGATCTAGAAATAGATTATCTTGGCTATCTAGATCTAGATAGAATCTAGAGATATAGATCTAGATCTAGATTCACTCCCACATGACAATAATGGCCGTCATGGAGACATTAAACGGGACCAATTGTACAGGTGCACCAAAAAAGAAGCCATTGAAACAAGCACAAAATCGAAGCTTAAGTAGATCTATCTACTGTTGATATGATAGTATCATTGATAGTATGAGTCAAGTTGCATGATATAGATCTAGATCTAGCAGATAGAGTGTCTCCGCCAATTCACAGACAAGAGTTGCCCTTCGGTCATTCGCCAACCACTTATATTATAGGGCTTAGATCTAAATCTAGATCTAGAGATCTAGATCTACTTTCCGAACTGCACACTCTTGGCTGGGTGCATAACAAAATCTAGACTCTCTAAATCTAGATTCTATATCTAGATCTAGATCCAAATCTAGATAGGCTACGTTTATTCATTAATTACTCTCTCTCTCTCTCTCTCTCTCTCTCTCTCTCTCTCTCTCTCTCTCTCTCTCTCTTTCTCTCTCTATCTCTCTGGGCTAAAATATATAAATTTTAGTAGGCCTAGGCCTTGGCTAGACATACCCAAGACACAGTATCTCCCCCTGACGTGTGAGTACGTTATAGCAAAGTAGTAGGTCGGGTGGGGGGGTCAGGGGGTGTCTCCTCCCCCCCCCCCCCCTGAAATAATGTGCCGTAACATCTAAACTAACAATTTGCAACGTTTTTCAGTGCCAAAATCGTGTTCAAGGCCCTAAAAAACCTTTAAAAGCTACATAATAACCCCTTTATGAGACGGCAGGGTTTCTATAAATTTACCTAAAAGCCCCCACCTTAGTTTCGTCTCAAAAACAAATACTTTAGGTAAATTATTGCAAAGTAAAATCTAATTTACAACTCAGTAGGCCTATTTTTTCCTGTCATTGTCATCTTGCCATCACAACAGACACAAAGTCAAAAATGATATCTAACTTCTTACGACTTACGTTGTCACGTCGAGTACGGTCGACGAAACTCTCGTTTTAGGCCAGGGATGTTCTTATTGATATTCAAACCACTTTATTCCCTTTTTTAAAAACTATAACATTATCTTTCAACATAATTACCTTCTTATGCGACGCGTCAACCATGGTACAACAGCATACCGAATTCTAGCTCGCAACGTAGATCTAGTTTCGTCTGTAATGGCGGAATGTCGATTGAAAATGTGTCCAACAATTTGACGTTTATATTACTTATTATAGGCCCCGGAGAGACCAC